TATCTACTATTTGTAACGGCGCAGGCAAGACAATGGGTCCGAATGCGGTATGAATCCACTCAGAGGCATATGGGAGTGCGTGGGGACTCAGAGACCTGGGAATACCAATGACACCTATAGGCCTTGTACGTAGGATATCAGAAAACTACCGAGCTAGCTACGGGGCGAGGTGCGACTAAATACATGAGGGAATAGGGGTAACAGCAGGGGGCAGGGCAGAGTCGGGGCCAGGTCGAGTCAGGGTTGAGCCAGGGTCGGAGCCGATACGGGGACCCTTCGGATGGGTACCGGGCGACCCGAGATGGAACGAGAATCGTTACACTATTAGATTTATGTGTTAAGTGTGTTAATATTATTATATAAAAGGTCTATAGTTTATGTAGTAATAAATAAGTGAAATGGTACCTTTAGTTAACATATAAATATAATATATACTTTTTTTATATATTACTTAATATATTATTATGCAGCATCTTTATTCTTTAACGTACTTCATGGGCGAGTTGCTCACACACCCGAGTTGCTTACTTTTGCTAAGACCCTACTACACCACTTTTCCTACACTAATGCATTCCTAACAACACTACTTAAACGCGTTAAAAGAACATTAGATGCAGCTTATGCTTTAAGCTCTTAAACAAAACGCAACACTTTCTAACTAACACGCTGCAGCTATCTATAGGGTCCCTTAAAAGATAATAAGTAACTAATGCGCTAGACAACCTTTCTAAGCTAATTATACAGCTAACTTATAAAAGCTAGATAATAATAAAGAGCAGGTAATTATTTAGCACATACTTAAGCTAGATGCGCAAGGATTTCCCCCCTAGCTAGTAGCTATAGCTAATATAGCTAATTCTTTGCGCGCTAAGCACAATATAGGCTATATTAGCATAAACTAGCCTAATACATTTATTAAGTGTTACCTAAAGCTTAAAGTAAAGTTTAAGCGCAAGTACAACTATAAGAGAGCCCTTTATAAAGATCCTGCAGTAATTTAAGGCTAGTTTAACCTTATAAAGAATATTAAAGCTAAGTATAGCATCTAGAATAATAACATGTACAACTTTAATAAAATAGGGTTTATAATAGGCTAGATATCTACTAGAGCAGTTGTTACAGGTTTAGAGAGACAAAGATAGCTAAAAGCAGTCTAGCTAGGCAACTAGAAGTAGACAACAGCTATTTAGGGCATTAATGCTAAAAAGTAGGCTATTCTGCTCTTTATTATTTTTTAGAGTAGTAACTACCTCTTAAACTAGTATAAAGAGAAAAATCTACTTTAGAATTAAGTTATTGCAATCTCTAAGCATAGCTAGACTACTAATTAGCTTAGTTTAGACTAGTTAAAGCACTTTAACGCGCATATAAAAAAGTGTACTGTTAGCAGCTACTGTCTGCTAGTTATTAATAGCTATAAAAGCTATAACTTACTTTATTTCTAGTAATACTATAAAAATAATAAGATTATTACTATCTACATGCCTTCTTACTTATTGCACCTTCTATAGCTACTTAATGTAGGTTATTTTACTTCTTTAAAGAAGGCATATAGGCGCTAAGCTAAAAACCTTATGCGCAACTAAATTACCTATATTATAAAAATAAAGTTCCTGCTATGCTTTAAAGCAGCCTATAATGCTGCAATTACTTCTAGTAATATCTAAAAAGGGTTCTAAGGCGCTAGATTAGTTCCTTTTAACCTAC